GGATATAACGTTCACTACATTAAGTTTTTTGGAGGAATATAAAATTTGGCACTGTCAAACGTTTACTACAAGTTCTCTCACCATTAATATTAAATTTTTCGTCGCGTCAAGTCGGTAAATACAAAAAGTATCCTAACTCATTGGGGTTAATTATCGTCAGCCTATGAGCGGTGCGGATTAGTAGGTGTTGACGATTGCAGATGTAGCCATGACCAACGGCTTAATTTGACTTCCGGAGTATGGAGGAGCTTGATATAATAACTTTTTGGTTACCCATCCCATGGCTGGACGAAAGTTTTGCAGATCGAACTCCAGCCCCAGTCCATTCCAAGTTGAGTTCCGATTATGATAAATATTGTCTTTCTAAATTGTATATTAAAAATTCTAACAGCCGTTTCCGGGAAATAAAACGTAAAGTCATTAATAAATTTGTCATTTCTAGTGAATGTGGTGTGTGATTTGTAATATGACATCGCTCTTTATTAAAAATATACTCACATTTTATTCGAAGAGTTACTGCCAGTTTCAATCTTTTTGATGGTATGTGTCAAATGACGCAACGCGGTTTATTATTCATAAAAGTGATTTGAGAATGTTTTTGTTTAATAAATTAAATAGTTTAGCGTGTTTTATACATTTACCTTGCTTTGGATCTGTGGGATTTGAAATTTGTCTAAATATTTATAAGATTAATGTCGTTATTGCTATGATTAAATCGAATTTATCATACTCTATGGCTATAATAAGAATTATTGAGAACCAGTTCAGTTTCGAATATCATTTATTTATTATATAACTAGTTGTTTTCCAATCACTTCGCCCATGTAAATTACGACGCTTGCGTATGATATAGCCACCTGTATGTGAAAGACTTTCATAATCGGACGGATCAGTATTTCCGAGGATTACCCCATACAAATAAACAAAGTTAGAAATTTTACCTCTTTATGATATTATTGTAGATGATTAATTTTTACTTATATTATATGCAAAAGAAAAGAATTTTATCCGTTTTTACGAAAATTACGTGGATCAAAGAAGTGGTGCTTGGTTGGTGCAGTGTGTGTGTATGTTGTTGTAGAGAAAGAGTAGTTATATTGCAAAATGTTATTGTTTTTTTTTTAATAATAAATTAGAGATACGCCGAATAGTGGTTTCACCAAACCGAATATGTTTAACATTTACCGAACCGGATATTCGGCCGAATTGTTGAGTTTACCATTTCATAATTTTTATTTAGGCAGAGTGTATCTAAGTGCTCCATGTATATAGCGAACAATAATTTTCGAAGCAATTATTGTTCCTATATGAAAAAAATGAATAAAACCGACTTCAAACTTTATTTAATTAAATAATCTATCGTTTAATTAATAACCTGCAAAGTATTTATTGAAAGATTAAAAGTGACATTGATGTTTTTTTATATAAATAGATAACGCATAAAATATAAGTCCACAAAGTAAAAGTCTTAAGAAAGGAGATTTTGTTTATTTGCTCTAGTTTGATAGAAATTTGTTCACGATTCAAGAAGAAATCGATGAACATACCTAATAAATAACATAAAAATATATATGTGTAGTGAAAAATATGCCGAATACGCCAAATACAGAATACGAATATTCGGCGCTCCCCTAATAATATATTTTTTCTACACATACTCTATATTGTGTATGATACTTATTTATTAATTTTACTTATGATTTTTGAATCTCAAAGTAAGTAGCTGTCAATAGAACTTTACAATAACGTTTATATTATACCAAAAACGTCAAATTTCGACAATTGAACGGCCAATAGTTACGTACGAATATTGAGGTCACACTTTGTTTACTAATGTGGTAATAATAATAATTTATACCATTGGTCATCGTAGAGTCATCGGCTCTTTGGGTCTCTGCCAATGACGTTGTCACCACTTCTAAGAAGGCATCGGTCAAATTGAAGCACTCAACGACAAGAAATTTCTACAGAAAAAGTCTAAATATTACACGCACGCGATCATCTTTATATACTATTGCTGGTTCATTGACATTTAGGTCTGTGCTTTCCTGCTCGTTTGGCGGATCTAATTCGAATTAGGATTCCATGAAAAGAAATTACTTTTTCTTTTCTTTTGCGCTTCCTATGATTTGTCGGCGTTTGCTGGTAGTCGACCAATTAACACATCGGTTCTCGGATGTCAAATAGTTGACCTGTTTATCTTAATTTCTAAAATAATGTAATTGTATCAGGTTATTTTTTTTTGATATCAATGAATTTGGAAATAATAATATTTTAACAAGATTATATTTCATTTGCATTCACAATGCTTAATTGATATTTTGTTGAAAAATGCCTATTTTGTATGGTGTATTATTGTAAGTACCCTTTCTTTAAGATAAATATCTTTATGAATGCATAGTTGACCAAATATAATATTTTTTTGTTTTTCTCAACACGAAGTTGATATTGACCAAAGTATTTTTTGTATCAATGATGTAAGTGCTACTGGATGGTTATTGTAAAATGATAAAAATCTGGAGCGGTCTATTATATTTTTATACAAACTCCGTATACACAAGAAATCTACTGTTAACTCGAGTTTATTGTAACCATGATCTATTTATTTTATGTTTTACAACTCGAGATTATAATCTGTGGCGCTATTTTGGTGAAGGACGCAGTGAGATGATTGATGGTGGCAAAGGGATTCATCATCGTTCCATTTTGCCAAGACAAAATGACGTACCGTCTTCCTTCTCCGAGGTATCGTTGTTGTCTATTCAGTGTGTAGTTCGCTTTGTTAAATATAATGCACATTGAATTAGCTAAGTTGATTGTTGTCCACCATTGGACGGCTGCCAAGGTGAACTATGGTTTGTGATTTTAATCGTAGCTCTTTGTACTATAATTAACTTAATTATATTGAATAATATAGTCTAAGTGTCGACAGTGCCCTGTGAGAGTGAGCTCAAGAGCCAGTGACCTCGTACTGTCTTCATCATCAATGCAATGTGGCTTGGTGCGCGTGACAGTGAAGCCGAACCACATATTCTCAGTATGGATGGAGCAAGTTAAATGCTTATCAAAACTGCACTATTTCAGTCAACTGTCACAGTTATGTCTTGGCGTTCAATAATAATGGTCGTATTGTATGCGCGACTTCACAAACATCCCACATGCGGTGTCCGTTGATTAGTGAAATGACTCCCTGAAAGCGGGTCCTACGGCAAGCGTTACACATAACATCGCGTTCAGTTTGCCGGCCCTATCATCCAATGATTATTTATGGTTGTTAATTTCGCGTCCCTCTGGCCTTGACCGTCAACGCAAGATATCCTTGCTGTCATGTATGCACACCGGCCGCAAGCACTGTAACTAACAAATTAACATAACCCCTGAAGGCTCTATTTTTCCGAAAACAAAACTTCCTCTATTTTCGAAATGCTAAGAAACGCTTTTGTCGTTAATTTATAATGCAAGGAAGGTTGGAACTAACATTGCATATGATGCACAGATAATCTTCACGGATATAATTTAAAAAGTTACAAGAGAATCAGGACGTTCCAGGACAAATAGAATAGGTCAAGTACCATGATAATTCGTTCGAGTTATACTTGATTTAACCTCTTGTTAATTTCCTTACTGTAACAAAAATAATGCGTCCGCGCGTCATTGTGCCGCACGTGCTGTTCCGATACATGTTTGTAGCACGTTCATAGAGATACCCGATTGTTTCATTCGCCAGGGGTGCATTATGATAATATAGAAATGGAATATTTTCTACAGATTTATAAAAGATGAGAGAAAGAATGAACTTATTTTCATAGCTGAAATTTTACTTTTCAAATGTGCGAAATTAAGAATCAGTTTCTCCAGCACCAAAGAATATACAGCGTTTTGTTATGTTAAAAAAACAGTTTTTGGCCACTTAGAAAATACCTCTCTAATGCAAAACAACTGCTAGTCGACGTTTTCTATTGAATGTTTTTGTTATTGCGTTTTATTTTTATGTCTCATCATGATTGGCAAAAATATGCATCCTGAATTTAATAAGCTTTAATATGTAAATAACATAATGAGAGACATATGAAATTCTGCATTGATATAAAAAAAAAAGTAAGAGTTAAAAACAGTATAATATTCAGCCAAATATGTTTTCTTTCACTTGTCAGATTGGTTCATTTGTCTTTAAAATGAAATTTATTATTTACTGTTGATTTTGTTTATTCATTTTCAATGAATTCCAATATTTGTGAAATTAATGAAAAATTGTTTTCTGTAACGTTACAACGGGATAATCTTGAATTATGAGTCTCTGAAACTTGGCTACGGTTTTACGCAATAATTGTTTAGTGTTTACCGTTCATTCATTGTTCTCAGCTACATTGTGTTGAGTATATAAACGTTTTCGTAGAATAATACGTCATACAGTTTGCCAAGTCTCTTCCAGGAGAACGTCTACGGAACATAAAGAGTCGAGGATTACATTAAACAAATGTTCCTTTGGTACTAAAAGAGATCTATCGATAATTCTCGTATCTGTTTATACACATCTGCAAATAGACCACTATACTTTTATTACTTGCGATCAATACAACAACAGAAAAATTCCAGTCATATGTTTCCAACTGATGATGATTGAAGTGGTTATGTAAATATTACCCTAAAGTTTAGCAGCGGTCGTCACACTTTTCTGGCCAAGGGCCATACAGACAGGACAATGTGGGTATCAGCACCCGGGCTGCAGAGTATGTGACGCCTTTACATTATGTCGCGCGGCAGCCGCGGGACTCTTTTGTAAAGGTACTCTAGTCTAGTTATGCGGGCCGCAGTTTGACGACCACAGGTTTAGAGCCTAAACCCATGACTACAAATGTTAAATTTTTTTCTTGTGTCGAGTTCAGTATGCTCTGCGTACAAAGGTAGATGATGATTGTCTAAAACGGTTATCAAAAACCCAAAACCAGTAAAATGTTAATCGATTTGGCGTTACTTAAAAATTACTCTTTCTTTTTCAGGTGATAGATTTCGGTAGTTCGTGCTACGAGCACCAGCGGGTGTACACGTACATCCAGTCGAGATTCTATCGGGCGCCCGAAGTGATGATGGGAGCGCGGTACGGCATGCCCATCGACATGTGGTCGCTGGGCTGCATCCTGGCGGAGTTACTCACAGGTAATAATCCTGATTAAGCCTTCAATAACTTTTCACAGACAAACCGTCATTAAATTTATATCATTATCATCGTTCAACAGTCTATTAATGTTCCTAATGCTGGAGCTTACGCCTTCCCCATGGAAGGAAGCTAATATAATAAGGAGAATCGGCTGTACCTCGCGGGTCCAATGCATTATCACCATAATCCAAATCAAAAATAAGTTTTTATATGTATAATATCTTCTTAGCGAACCTCATTTGTTATATATATTGATAAATATTTTCCTTAGCACAACCTTTCATTTATGACAATGCAGACAATAACTAGGCCTCCATCTTGAGCAGTTCGTTATATTGGATTTAAAATTTTGTCACTTAGCTAACTTAGCATTGTTCTTTAGCTATGCAAATTTCAACTTAATCGGTTAAAGATACTTTAAAATTCAGTTGACAGATTTGACTGACGTACTTTGCAAGTTAAATAAGAAAGAATAATATGCACTCGGAAGAATATATTGGCAACAGACTCTACCTCTGTTTGTATACTGAAACAATAACCTACAGTGGTTTCCAAGGTTTACGATGTGACTTATCAAGAAATGAATTTTATTTTGCTTTCTTTAGTGGAGATCTGGGGGAGCGGCCTGTATTTTATTTAGTCGAACAATTGATTATATAAAATTTTTAGGTTTTTTCAGCACACTAGGTAGCTGCTGCTACAAATTTTATATATATTATTTTTTTGCTTAATATGCAATATTGTTTTATTCTGTAAGTCATAGATGTGTCTATATTAATTTTGCTTTCACTTTACCATGATAATAAATAAATTTCAGGTTTCCCCCTCCTGCCCGGAGAGGATGAAGCGGACCAGATGGCATGCATTATCGAACTCCTGGGCATGCCGCCCCAGAAGCTGATCGAGCAAGGCAAACGTTCCAAGAACTTCATCAGTAGTAAGGGGCTTCCGCGGTATTGTACCGCCACGACACTCGCCGACGGCACCACTGTCCTCAGCGGAGGTTTGTGATTATTTAATAAAACCCATTTTCTCGACCATTACAAGCTTGGGCGTGTTTCGAGCCGACTAGTGGCAAAAGTGTTCCATTTGTGGCAACCTCTTTATGGTTTCTTTCGAAAGAATTGTATAGGATTTTTTACCAACCAAATTTTTTTTAGTTACGCGCTTCCCCTCACCTCGCGGTACTTCTAGCCTCTAGATACGCCCATGTTTATTATTTGAAGGTGCCACTATCTGCCATAGATACGTGAGTTGGGGGCTACTACATCTTCAATTTACGATTCAAAACATCTATTAGAATCTCCTCGTTTTGCTTTCTGAATTTACTGTTTATTTAGCGGTAAAGACTTTATTTATTATCAGAATTTATTTAGCTACTCAAATATTTCAGCAATAATATTTTCGAGTCATTGAGTTTTAATAGACAATTGTTTCTGTTTAAATAGTTTATATGTGACATTTTGTTCTGCGTCAGACTGCATTCTTCAGATCATCATTATAAATAACTGCAATTCGAAATATTCACCACACACGCCTACTTTCTTTAACACGTCACTATTTTTATGCATACGTGATTCAGAGTCATGCCGATTTGTTTTAATTTAATAACAATAAATTTTTCTCAATTTTCGTCACCGAATGTTGTGTCTGGGTGACTCAGTTTCTTAATCAGACAGTGGATGAGCAGTCTATGTCTAAGGCAGATGACACACAAGAGATGGCGCCTATTTAACGGACTTATGAATATAATTTGATTCATGATATCTACGACTATTACAAATCAGACTTGGATCTAATTCTGTTAACTTCCGGGTAAACTACCCGAAAAGCGGGTAACTTTTTTATAACCTAACGAGATTATCATTGCTTTCGGGTGTTTTCACGTTTCAAAGGTGAGTTCATATTTTGAAATGAGCATATTAAAATTTCAAGAGTACATGTGAACGATAGATGAGAGAAATATTTTAACATCGGAACAAAATTTCGTGCAGTTGAAATTTAACTTAAACTTAATGATTACGATGTACAAGATTTGCGTTGATTCAAATGTCTGGTGTTTTTGGTCTGATGCCAACGGTGTGGCGACTATAATCCCTTGTCATGCTGTGAAAGTATCACATTACTGTTAAATGAGCCGTTAATTATGTTTATATTATATTATTTTGTTAACTGGGGTAATTGGTCTGTATTATCCTTGAAAATAAAATCGTGTTTGTTATTACTAGTAAAACTCAATTTAAACATTTAACTGGTGTTGTATATATCGTCCTAATAAGTTGTACTGCTTAAAAAAATAATGAAAAATATATATAATCAAATTGCAATTATGCGCGCATTAGAGAGTCATAAACTATGCCTAATGCTGGCTTCTTTATTTTATTATATATGCTTAAAATCCGATTAGAATTAAAATTTTCTTGGTCACAGATAGTATATACTGTTTGCTACTATTAGCTTCTGTTATCATGTTGTTGTTTTTCTATCAAATTTCTTTCTTGATCATTGTTCTTTCTTGATCGTTGATGTGTACATTATGATTTAGTCAGTGTCTATTTTCAAATTGCCTTAAACATATTGTTTATTCTCGATGTTTTTAGCATATTTGTCTGTAGTAAATTCTTTTTCTTATATGTAGTTGGAGGAAGTATCATGTCAGTATAGAGACTAGGTTATATTTAATATATAAAGTCATTTCGACCGTGACTTCGAGTCATAACTACCTACATAGGCAATCTCCCATGAAACATAGAACAAGAGGCATAAAAAAGTAAGCTGTCAATACTTTTTCTTTTAATAATGGCTTATCTGCGCATTTCGCACAATTCTGCCTGCTGTCAATACTGAAATGATACATACCATTTTTTTCTCAGTAATTTCTTACTTATTATTACTGATAACCCCCTTAGGTCTGCAGCGCCCACAAGGGGGCGTTATTGCCCACTTTGGGAAGGGCTGGTTTAGACTATGATCTGGGCACTTTCCGTCTAACAAATTTATAATGAAAAAATCTATAACTCCAAATTGTGATGTTTGTCCTTGGCATTTTGAGATGGGACTCGTACTCATGACGATTCGCAATCTCAGGACCGAATAGGACTGACAAGCACATCCATAATAACACATTTAATTCATTTTGTGTATTATAAGGATAAAGTTATAATTATGTTATATATAAAGTACTCGTCTGTACATACCCTGAGAGAGCGAAGACGGTATGCACGTAATGATTTCTTCACTTTATTATGAGATTAAAATAATATCAAAATTTTAGACGTCTTAACATATTTCTCGAAATAGTTAATAATCTAAGCTTATGGAGAACTTTATAACGTTATATTCACTTTTAAACTATCGCGCTGCATCAATAAATAATTATAATACCGGGTATTATAAGTATAAGGTTATGTTTTATGCAGTTTGTTTCTTCCGAGACACTATAACTACTTCTCAAATATTTCTTTGTTGGTAAATGGAAAACGGTCCTCCAAAACAGCAAAATTACATTAATAAAATTATACAAAATATAAATAAACAACGAAAAAATATGGCAGATGATAGATTTAAGGTTTAAGAAGAGATTTACTCTTTTGGTACATTTTGGAGACACGGTGGGCTCGTATTGTTCTACAGCTGTAGATGTGTATGAAGATTACCATCCCCTCTTCTGGTCAGTCAGAACCAGATATACCTTGTTAGGCTCGGGCCTAGGGTGATCAGTACCTTAATTATGATAGCTAAAAAGGGACAGCTAGTACTTCATGGCAAGATCTGCCTCTGGGGTCAGTGCATATCGGATGGAAGATCGGTCGCGTCTCGTCGGTGGCGGAACTTACATCAGATCTGCACCGACCATTATGTGTGATACATATTCTTATACCTATAATTGCCAGTTTTTACACTACGATAATCTTTTAGGAACAATGATAAGGTATGATAAAAAGAGAGAGAGAGAGAGTGATGTTTGCGTGTATTTATTTGTATTTGTGTGAGAGAGGGGGAAAAAGAAATAATTATTATATTTGCTGGATATACTACAAACTGTCCATCCACTAGTAATTTTATTTTCTTACTCTAGAAATACGTTACTTACAAATACATTACTCTTTGCTTAATGGTTTCAGGTATGTCGAGAAGGGGCAAGCCGAGAGGTCCGCCTGGCTCGAAGAGTTTCGTTACGGCCCTTAAAGGTTGCCAGGACAAGTTTTTCATAGATTTCATTAGACGGTAAGTAGTATTTTGAAATTTTGACAAAAATTAACTGCAAAAGTGAATTTTACTATCATATATAGATTTTGTAACGATATAAAACAAAGATGCTTCCCGCTGTCTGTACGCTCAGATCTATTAAACTAAACAACGGATTTTAATGCGGTTCATTAATATACAGAGTGATTCAACTATAGGCATATCACACATTACCACGCGGGCAAATCCGCAGGCGGAACGCTGGTTGAACCATAATTTATTAAAAAGAAGTAACTTTTTGATAAGACATCAAATAGATATTTGACTGTAGCGGCTTCATATATTTATGTACTTTGTGTGTATATCGACTGCCCAAAACAATCTCGAAACAGTCGTGTACGTTGTTGCCGTCAGATGCCTAGAGCAGCATCTAACAGCTCAGGTGTTGCCACGCGCGTTGCCTGTAACGGCGTATTGTATATGATAATTGTTATTGCATCAAGTGTACGTTAATGCCAAGAGTGGGATCATGAGAAGCGTCTGAAGCCCGCACAGGCGCTCCGTCACGCGTGACTGTAGTTTATATTAAGGTTGCTATTGCATCAAGTGTACATTATTGACTAGAGTACCCTCTTACGGCCCAGGTGCTGACACGCACATGTCTGTAGCGGCGTATTATATTGTATATACGAAATGATTGTAATTGCATCAATTGTATGTTATTGCCTTCAGATGTCTGGAGTGGGACCCAGAGAAGCGCCTGACGCCCGCGCAGGCGCTCCGTCACGCGTGGCTGCGCCGGCGACTACCGCGCGCGCCGCACGACGAGGACAACACCCACGTTAGTATCGCGCACCACGCCAAACGGCTCCACGCCGGCATTAACGCCGCACCATAGGTTCGTCCACAGCTTCTTATCTATATATATATATCGATGAAGGCTAAGGAAACATATGCTGCCGCTAACGAATATATTTGTTTCGAGTAGATAGGGTAGAATTCTTGTCAAATCTTTAAGCCAATTGTCAAAGTCAGAAAGGAAAACGTCGGATTCAGAAGTGATGATTTATTTCGGTCGAATTATGGTTTAAACTTGGTTCTAGAGATAGTCCTCGTTTTAAACATACAGGGTTATTCATAAAACACCAGCAACCTTGTAGGAATAGATAGCTAAACTAATAAATAATAACATTTGATCTATGAGTTTTGATAAATTCGTTACTTTTACTCTTATATAAAGTTTAACTTATTTATTAAATCTGCGCCCATTTTCACACAGCGTGCGAACGAAGCATCGTCCTTTTGTTTATGGATAAAATATAAACTTATAAGTATCACGTCACGATTTTGTACAAAATAAAACTTGATAAATCGTTTTCGTTCAAAGTATCAAGTTATGTTAAAACTCGTATATCGAGCGTTGTTATTTATGATGTTAGCTATATAGTCCTGCGAGGTTCTTGGTGTTATACAAATAACCCTATATAAAAAGAACTGAAAGAATACTGAGAGATTATAAATAATATTTTTAAAATAACACAGTAGTTTTAAAAGATGTGAAAATATGAATAAATTACCAAGAAAATAATAATCTGCAACATTTTATTTTCCAATAGAAATTGTTCGTATCTGTCAGTCGGGGTGTATTCATTACATTAATTATGTTGTATTTTCACACAATATTTAATTACGAAGTTCGGTCGTGCCAGTTTCAAAATTTATACAACATATAAAAGAGAATTTTAATGATTTACTTGCTTATCATATAAAAAAAACTCTAAATCAAATCGATTATCCATTATGATATTAAATTGATCCATACTAACGCCATCTAGCAGTGACATAATACTTTATAGATGCCATTTTAAAATAAAAAAAATGTTTAGTAAAGACGGATATTTGGGCGTGACTTTCTCATACTTAGCGTCAGCATATATTTCTAAAGCTCATAATATACGTATAACCAGTAGTAATCTATACAATTGATCTTGTAAACTTTAAAATGTTCTTTCTTCCCTTCAAAATAAAATATACAAAATAATTAAAAAAAATACAACATTGCATTAAATTAGTCGGAATTTTTTAAGTCATTTTCAACTTTAAGCTACATTTTTTCGAAAAAATTCAATATAACGTCATAGATTTCGAATCAAACGATTGATAGAAATTAAGCTACTGGTTTGCGTATGTATCTATGATACAGAAATCGCTTGTGGTATATTTGAGTTGAGAAAATTAGTAATTAAGGATAAAAACAAATAAACTTGAGCGTAATTATTACAATTATGAAGTTTGCTCTATTATCTCACAAAGGCTATATGCTATTAATTAAAAAAAAAACTTATCCAAACTAGGTTTAGCGTCAGAGTAGATTTAAGTTAAAATTGTAATTTTAGTATTAGTTCAAATTCAGATTATACAGAGTATTAGCAAACCTACTACCTTCTAGGAGTAAATATTACTTCCGTAGAACCTCGTACTAGGTTAACGTTTTCTAAGTCTCTGTTTAATAATATGAATTTTAACTAATACTAAGTACATTCTCAGCGTATATTTACTTCAACGCTAAACCTTATTTATTAATAATACTTATATGGTTTATAATAATAACTTAATTTGAGATCTGAACAATGTATGTGATGTAGTCTAATACACTCCTATATTTATCTATCTCCAGTGTAAGCCTAAGTTAACAACGACAAGGTCAACAACCTTATATTAGAAAATTGATAAAATCAATTTCAATTTAATTTCTACCGGACAGCAAAATCGATATTAGAATGTACTCTATAATAATTTTCTCAACTTGAATTTTTAGTCTTTAATTAAGTGTTAAATATCTAATAAACTATTTTATGAATTATAAATGAATAAATATTCATATTTATGTTCATAATAACCACAAACGGTTTCCATTTTATTTGCTTTAAGTTGCATTTATTATTAAGTTGTTATAATTTATTTGAGTATTATGTAAATGTTTATATTATTATTTAAATATGTGGACCAAAACTTGTTTTATCGATGCTATAATATTATCGTTATATAATTAAATATAGCCTTAGCCGCAGCGTAGACGCTTCGCTGGACATTCTCTTGCTTTCCAATGAATAATTTTCGAATAATTATATTTTCTTTAGCATGTTTTATTATATTGTTATGTATTTTTATATAATAGGCACACTTCAGGTTAATACAAAAGTCTAAACTAGAAACGCTTTACGGTTTATTTCAAAATTTTATACAATTTCATTATAATCCTTAATGCGTAGATATTAAAGTTGGAATCACTAATTTATTATTAACCTAATGTGTTGCTGTTGTACATACGATTTGGTAGACGTTATATTATTATTATTAAAACGCATTATAAGCATGGCAAATACTGTTTTTTAAATAAGTTTGCGCCTGTCGAAAATGCTATTTGGAGATTTTAGAAACCACATCTATTGTTTTTTATTAGTATTATCTTTCTTTTTCATAGAAGTCTAGTTACTTAGAGCAAGAAATATTGCATCCACTTGTCTCTTTTTAAAACACGATATTTTTGTATAGTCCACAAGATATGGTATGACGTAAAAACACCGTAGATGTAAAATTAGTCAGTCTTGTTATAATTCTTTTTGTGAAAATATTTGAAGTATAATGCACTGCATTTAAGTTCAACCGAAGTGGTTGAACCAAAGTTACTGCGCTAAGTAGTATATTTTTGTGTCTCAAACGAAGTGTGGGGTTGAGACGAAGCAGGTAACCGTAGCAACGTAGTATATAGTACATAACTGTAATGAAATCGTAATTTTGTGTAGAAGTGATGTGTGGCGCATTAAAAGTACCTGTCACTTACTTTCAAATATGGACATATAACTTACATATAAATTAATTGTTTCCCCGTTTTTAAAAGTATTTATAATTTAAACCACTGTTATATTTATGCATAGAATAATTTATAGGCAAATAACTTTGTTTCTAAATATTAATATTTCCAGTCAAGGCAGGCGTCTCATGTCTATTGCAGCGTTGTAATAATTTTAACAAGTAGTAGTACTATGTTGTAATTTGAAAGACAAACTTATTAGTGTAATTTAAAATAATATGTAGTTAGAGTAATAGTTATTTAGGGGTTAGTTAGTGTAATAGTTATTTAGGGGATTGCTATTTGAAGCGCCATCATCATGGAGCAACTGAAGTCTTGCGGGTGGATGTTATTGGCAGACAGGTCGAACTACCCTCTTTTTTGCTTTGTGAAAAGTGAATAGCTTAAGTTATTGAGAATAATCAGTCGAGATTTTGTATTTTTCTCAATTTAGAAACCAGCAGAAGGTCACCACTCTATAATTGTTATCTATAATTCTCATATAGTTAGTTTTCTTTAAAATTCAAATAAACTTGGTCAAGTTTTTTGAGTCGGATGCGGGTTTCGTAAAAAGTTTTAAAACAATTGACTTCCTAAAGGAACAGTTCTTTCAACATAACGGCCTCAGAATTTACGCAGTTGAGGAGGTTGCGCGTACATGTTCACTTGGAATCATCTTAGTCTATTTTCTTAATGTACTTCGTATAAGAAAATTATAAAAGATGTAACAGGGCGTTACAAAAATACACTTTACTGGGAAAAGTTTTGTAGTTTCGAAAAAGTCATTTAGTTTTCATAAACTTCGATGTTGTTTTGATTTTACACTAGGAAACTGTTTAGTAGAATAAAAAGTAGCCCATATGTTAATCCAGGTTTAGAATTTAATTTAATAATTCATTTGGATAAGGCTTCGATCATGATACGGATATAATGACAATGGCAAATTGAATAGTAAAACGATGGTTACTGGGGTAACAATTTAATTCCCTATACAAAATCCCACTCCCATTTTCATCCCTTTATGATGAAGGGAAGCTTCTAGGTGAAAAAATAGGAGAAGAATTTTTTAAATCTGTCCAGCAGAGACTATTCGATGCAAACAAACAGTCAAATATTTTATGTTTATAATATTTTAGTAAAAATTTGTGTGGTACCCTCTGCGCCTAAGTTTGACTCTTGGCCGGCTTTCTTATGTGTATATGGTATTCGCCAACATCTACTCTGATGGTAAGTAAAAAAAATTAGATATTGAAATTAAATCTCAAAATTCAAATTTATTTAATTAGTTTCGACAGGAAATTTTATAGCATTTCATAGATAATTTATAAACTACGATGAATCTAAGAGAAATGAGAGGTTGACTGTGTTATGCAATGCTTTTTATAACAGGCAGTATCACTTTCACTGATTGCATCGTCTATGCAGGTGATGTGCTATTAATAAACATTAGAAATATTTCTATGATGCACTGATAGGTGTTGGAAATTTCCAAGTTGATCGGGAACGGATTGTAATCGATAAATAAAAACTAAGTTATACTCTATGTGAGTGACCGATAAAATGAGAATTTATTACTTATAAACGCATTTTGTTTACAGCATTTCGTAATATTTAAGCGAGTAACTTTGTATTATGTTTTACTTCAGACTAAATATATTTCTGTAAACTTAAATGACCAACAGGTTGTGTAATATGCCTCCAGAGATAATAATACTAATTTTTATTTCCAGTAACAACCGTTTCTTAAATATACAAGTAGTATAAAACTGAATAACATTAACATTATTAAAATCATACACAATATATAAAATAAGTTTTACTTGTACAAGGCTTCTGCTGCCAAACTAAGGTGGTTATAACCCTGTCATCTGGCAAAGATATTGTTGTTATTTGTTATCTCGCTTACTTTTCATTACGAGAAATATCACATTCCATCCCTAAGCTGTCGTGCTCCGGCACTGTGGCACAATTTGTATTTTTACATTGTTTGACTATTTGTACACAAAGAGGTCTTTGCGTTAACTGATATTCAGTAAGATTCATCTTTGCTATAATAATTTTACTCACCGATGCCTCTGTAGAAAGTTACATTTCGAAATGCGGCAAATTCGACCAATCATAGCCATTCTAGTAAAGCGTCATCGGAGGATTCGTATACCTAATACCCGTCCAGTGCGTGACGGACGGACAGACCTTATGGTTATTCAAACAAGACAAATATATTGATATTTGTAATCGAACTTGGAATTTTTGGATCTTCGACCTTTGCAACGAAGATGAGGTTGAACTTACTTTATGTGTTCCTTTTATTTGTTTGCAGACGAGTAGCGGGAGCTCGGCGCCGGGCGCGGGGGTAGGGGCGGTGGGTGTTGTGGTGGGGGCGGGGGCAGGCGCGGGCGGTAGTGGGGGGCGCGGGGGGTCGCTGCGGACACCGCTGGCGAGGACACCGGTCACCTTCAACGCCTCACAAGTCGCCAGTGAGTTCATCATTATGGGCATGAAAGGAAGAACTGGCCATTACCGCATGGTCGGTCCGATAATGTTAACGACTTTACTCGCAAACGGAATCAACAGCTCGAAGTATCTGTTGAAGTATTGATTTTTTTTATATTTTCAAACGTGCTATACATAAATGAAAAAACTTTTAAACGGGTTCATCGCGTTTCAATTTAGTGATATGACGATTCGAATCCTTCACAGGTTCCGTGTTCACATAACTACGACTAAGTTGGAACTGGTGGTAGATTACGGTATACAGGGGTAAAGTAATTTAATTTGCCACAAAATATTTTAAAAATTGTATTATTAAAGTGTCCATTAGAAATAATTTTGATTTTAGAATAATGTATATATGTATTGTATTTGTTGTGTCCAGAAGCGAAGTTGCAAGCGGCGTTGTCTGAGGAGGGTGGGGGCGCGCGCGCGGCGTACTGGGCGGGCGCGGGCGCGGGGGCGGGGGCGGGGCGCCTGCCGCATCTGCCCGCGCCCTCCTAGCGCCCGCCCTCCGCGCGCCGCCTCGCCAAGGTAACCTATCTGTCGTATTACTTATAACTAGAGAATAAGTCCTACTTATACGAATTAACAGGACAGCTGAACAAAATTTAGTCTATTTTAGAAATGCTAATATGCGCAATTCACGACAATTTCAGGGCAGGATTCTAACAAAA